AGTCTGTTGACTTTAAAGTTGCAAACTTTCGCTGCGATATGCATATAGTAAGGGCCCATAAAGATGCCATGAAAGTCCTGGCCAACTCCGCCGACAAATAGCCATAAATAAGTGCTGGGGCCAAATACCCATGCTCGCTCTTGTGTGTGCTACCTATTGGCCATTGTTGGCCCAGATCGGCGACAACTGCAGCAGTCGGACTCTTGGCCTGGCCCAGAGCTTATTTATGCCCCCAGTCTCAGCCGAAGAAGCCAAGAAAAAATGGGTGGGGGGGTGTGGTAAAAAAACGCTGGCCAAAAGTCAAGTGAATTTCCTTAGCGCACACACACACAGACACAAAGCCATGAAATGTAGTTTGTTATGAATTTCAGCTACATCCTTTTCTCGGTTTTGGTTTTGGCGTACACTTTTTCCTCTTTTGTATTTTTTTTTCGTTGCCAGAGAAGCGGGTCGCAAACACATCCGTAAACAATTTGTTCATGCTCCTATTCGCTTTTATTTTTCTCGGCTTTTTGTTGCCGCTCCCCGATAAGCAAAATAAAGAAATGAAACGGGGAGAATTGAAAATAGGCAACCCTATTACAAGGGATACAAATGGCAGCCCAACAAAAACAATTCAAATGAACTGCGAACCCAAAAAGGCGAAACACGAGTGGCTCTGGAATTTTTCAAGTTTTTCCAAGCGCGCGTTTCCCATTTAAAAAAAGGGTTAAAAAGGGGCAATCAACGCCCTGGGTGGCAATTGGTAGGAAAAGGGTTAAACGGAAGTGTGCGAAAGAGTTTCCAGTATCATGGTTGAGTTATGCGATGTCGTTAATCAGCGTGATTATGATCCATTGGTTCTTTAATCCGTAAACTGCTGTAATTATTGTTGTTTACTTCAGAAGGTTGTTTCATGTCCTCAAGTAATTTAATTGCATTGGCAAGTGCTAAAATTAAATTGAACAAAGCTTTCGTGTTAATTAACCTAACTATTTGGTAGTCAAAATCATAATTGAGTGCCTATAATATCGGAAATTACATTTTATTAAGCATTTCATTGATTTATAATCGTTTTAAAGCTGATAGGACAAGTCGGATTAATTTGGGCAGACACATTTACAAAGAAAATTGCTAGGAATATGCAAATATTGCTGGTAAATTTGGCATACTTTGATTTTCTAGGCTTTCTTACCTGAATAAATTTTCACAATAAAATAAATGATGTGTCAGAATGTAAAGGATTATTTTAATGAATGGCATTTGCTTAAGGATATTTTTTGTAATAAAATTAAATTAAAATCGATAAAAGGTATATACCCGAACTATTATGATATAATTCAAGCTCGTGGCATTTTGTTTTTTCGTTTTAAAGAATTTTAAAGAAGGATGTCTTAAAAATTAAAATGTTTTTAATGTTTTTTTTAGTAGTTCTTTTTCAGTAATTCCTTGATTGGCCACTCCTAAAAGCTATTTTTGAGTGCAGTGAATCAGAAAAGAGACAGTAAATAATTGTATTAAACTGTTGCTGTAAATTAAAGTGGAAAAGAGGGTGGTGGGGTGAAAACTCTGACTTGGCCGATTCCCGATGGCGTTGGTGTGAGTGAGCCTTTTCTTTTCCATCACTTGTGTGTGTGAGCGTTTGCCTGTGTCAACGTAATTTTCCCCTGACTTTCTTTGCTCCACTTCAGCTCTCATTCTTGTTTGCCATTTCATTTCCATATGCACAAAGCAAATAGGCAAACAATCTGGTGGGGGAGGGGGTATATGGGGTGAAATGGGGGGAAAATCGGAAAAGGGGGCGGTGGGGGTGTGGCATGCGAGTTGTGAGTGAATGTTAATACCGGCCCGATACAATTTTGTTGGTGGTTGTCTTGGCAGCGGGTTAGATTCCAGTCGGAGGTTTGTGGCATCTTGACAGCCAACAACTCACTGCTCAGTGACACGTGTGAAATGTTGTGTTCTGCGGAATCAGGGGGCCAGTCGAACGAGGAGGGATATACCGGGGTCGATTCCAAGTTTTTTGACACATACAAGGGGCGAACGATGGCAAATTGGAAAGTCAAGCCGAAGTTGACAGGATTTGCGCGCAAAAGGATTTACCCGGGAAATATAGCGAAAAATACACAACAAAAAACTTTACAGTTCGATTTACCAATGCTTCTGAATGGTTAGTATTTATTTTCCTTGCAAATATTTAATAGTAATAATAGGTGGTAATATTTAGTTAATATTTAGTGGTCAAAATGTAAGGCTAAAGAGAATTCAGTTGGAAATAAATAACAGAATAAAAATCTGTCGATATAAACAAAGTATTTTTAATTATACGAAAAAAATGTGATTAACAATTCGTTATCATAATTGTTTTAAACCCATATCAAAAAAATTGTTGAAAAGTATAAGAAGTATTTAAATGACCCTACCTATATTTTAACTAAATTATATATTTCATTCGACTTTTATTAAAAATCATATGAAACATACATGAAACAACTTTTTTTGGCATCGATCTTATGATTTATAACAAATATATTTAGAATTCCATATTAAAATATTGATAATATTTTATTCCTATACAGAAATTGTGCATGTCAAAATATGAGAGGAAACTTTTTTTGGCTGTCAATATGAAAATAATATTTATAATATTTTTTTCCTGTACAGCTACATGTTGTGCATTTTGTGTGTAGGGAGTCGAACAGGAAAAGGAAAAGGAATTGGAGCAGGAGCTGTTGGATCCGCCGCAGCAGGATAATCGACTGCCTGTCATTGTGTTTACACTAAATTTCAATTAAATTTTGAGGCCTCCTTTGACAACTGACAGTACAAGAAAAGCGGGAGGCTTCCGGAATAGGAATATTCAAGTAGTATATAGAAGCGCAAGAGAAACAATTGCCGATGCCACTTGCCACTTTTTGGCAAACGACAACAAATCTCGGCCAAAACTTTGGAAACAATCTTATGCGGGAAAATGAAGCCACTTTTGCTTAGCGCCCACAACAACAAAAATAACAACAGCAAAATCCGAAAAAGGAAATTCTAAAACAAAAAAAAAGAAAGAAAATACCAGCAATCCGCCAAAGTGGGCGGGGATTTGCCAACTGGATTTAAAATGGAAATTATTTGAAGAAAACCAATTCGCTTTATTACTTTGGGGCATACGCAGCTAAGTAAAACAAGAGCAGTCGACGGTAAAGCTGCCAGCAACAACAACAAAATACCCCAGCAACAAAAACAATAACAATAACAAAAAACATTGGGGGAGCAACCAAAGAACAACAAAAGCAAGCGACCATAAAAATTAATGCAATAAAAACACATGGCCAAACTGGCAGGAGCAAAAGCCCAAACAAAGGACACAAACAATGAAAAGTTGGCTGCCAGAATGGCAAAGAAATAAAGCCAAATGGATGGATGGGATATACAGGTATAGTGTTAGGATCGATAAGTTTTTGCTTACACAGCCATCCAACATCGAATGACAAACAGGAATAAAATACAATTATTGGGTTATTGCAAACTTTCAAGAAAAAAAGTTGGGTGTGTCAACTCATAATAATATGGAAATTATTGGGTTATATACAAAATTGCTTAACATTGTTTATATTTACCAATAACATAATTTATTATTAAAATGTAAGAGATGATTATCATAAAATTTTTTTTTTAAATAAAGAGTTGTCAATACATGGAAGTTAAAAATGAAAAGAATGTATTTTAAATGTATATTAATTAACTAGATGGCTTCAAAACTCTCATGGCAGTACATTCAGTTTATATTTCCAATAAAAACCATCCTTTATGAAAAGTCCGCTAATGTCAGTGGGAGCTTTAATAGGAAAGGAGAAAAAAGTATGTGGGCAATGTGAAGGCTGTCAGGACTCCTTGGCTTTTTCTTGCCCTTTTGCTCTGTGCAGGCGGCACGCAATTAAAAGGACTTTCGACTCATAAACATTGCGCTTGAGTGGATGGCCCTGTGGCAGCAGAACCACCCAACCACCCACTCCCTCACCCAACCACCCACTGCCTGTTGCTCTTCGCCTGATTGAGCTCACAGTTTGCGGCTCATAAAGTCAGAGTCTCGGGCATAATTACACTTTTCAATTATGCATAATTATGTGTAGAAAGCAATTTGTGTGTGTTTGGAGCGCGTTTAAAATTTAAAGTGCAGTGACACCAGTCGCCTTTCGCCCCTCGCCCCTCACCCTTTACCCTTAACCCCTGACCCCACACTCCACGTCCATAACCCTTAACCCCGCATTCCTCATTGGAGCTGCTGTTATGCGATATGCCCTTAAAAACGACCCCAAGCGACCAGCAAGCGACCGCATTTGTTTGCTTTGGCTCCACGTTGCTATCTCACTTTTTACACTGAAAAAAAGTATAACCAGAATTCAGAAAATAGTAAGAACAACATAGGAATCATTACTTTTAAAGTGGGAGAGTATTTGTTTAATTACATTAAAACGATAAATAAACTTTTAAACAACCGAAAAAAAATAAAGAACAAAATAAATTTTCTTGAAAAAATCTAAAATCGATTAAGATTGAGTAAATTTTATGAGGCACTGTTGATTTATGGGATACATTTTGCTATCTCAATTTACTATTGTAATTTTCTGTAGATAAAGATTTTTTTTAAATAAATGTAGAGTAAATAGAATAAAAGGATGGAAAAATGTTAAATTTAATGATTTTTCTCTCGATGTACCCATCGCTTTCACTGCTCCTGCTGCGGTTGGCAGTGGCCATGTCAGAAGAGCAGCACAGGACTGCAAGGACAACGCAGCAGGCAGAAACATAAATCAGGATTTTCGCAGCCCGAACCACAAATGTTTTTAAAAGGATTCAGCGCCCGGCGAGGCGGCAACAATAACAACCTTGAGCAGGGTGGTATAGAGCCTATATTGTATATGTATATATATATTGCTGATAATCTTATGCATGCTTAAGCAGGCTACAGAATATGGGATGTGCGGTGGGAATATACTATATGGAAGGATCGGGGGAACTTGACTTACCCGTCAGGCAGCAGAAAAGTGCCGTCCACAGGGTCAACATTTTGCGATGACCCACTCGACTTGCGGTCTCTTTTTAGTGTTGCAGCTCTACTTCTTTTTCACTCCTTCCAATCCTCGTTTGATTCTGTTTTCTATCACTTTATCGGTTTTACTTTGCGTCCTATCAATTCGCACTTTGTTTGCTTTGAGAGCTTTGATCTATGACAATCTCTGGGGAAGATATATTTTTGTTTTGATTACCCTTATTCACACACAACACTTTTTTCGTGTCTCTCTTTCTATTAGCCCTCGCTACAGAGAGAAAAATATGGTATTTAAATTTTCTTAAAAAATTAATACATTTTTTTGAGAAAATAATATTTAAGTAAGCCTTATGAGAAGGTCTCTAGCCATAAAGTTTTAAGGGGCCTTAAAGTAGTCAACTATTATTATTAAAAATAGCTTTTAAGATTGTATTACCAATCAAAATATACATCTCATGTCGAATAATAAATAAGATATTAAAAACTAAACATTACTTGATTTTTCTTTAAAATCTGATATAAGGTTCAGCTAACGTATTTAAGATCGTAAAAAATGATATACTGAAAATACACTTCAAACTCTCAAACCAAATGTGGAATGTAAAACGTGATTATCATTTCTAGTATAATCTCAAATCTATTTTATTTTTCTCTCTGCAGCTGCAACTCTTTCTGATTCTCTCTTTTCGTTTCGCGTGAATTAAACACTTGCAATGACATTTAAAACACTTAATATCAATGGCAGACAATTTAATCCTTTAACGTTCGTTTGTTGAACTTTTTGTGCAATGTCCTTGTTGTTGTTCGTCCTTGTTGCTGCTGCTGCTACTGCGTTGTTGTTGCAGTTGCAGTCCAGTTTGCTCTTTTGGCTCGTTCTAGGCCGATATTTTTTTTGTTGCCCTGCTCGTTTCGCATTTCCACGAACGACTTTTTATTTTCTTTCCGCCTGGAACGTACCCAAAAAGAATTGATTTTCGTCTGGGGCTAAAAAGGTTTAAGAGGAATTTCATTTATCCTGTTTCTGGTTGTTTTTTTTTTTGCCGATGCTCCCCTTGCTGTTATGGAACATAAATTGATTAAATTTGTGTTGATGTCGGGTCTGATAAGCCAGATTTTGACAGAGTGCCTGGCACGTAAAATATTGTTAACTAAAACTTAGCATAAATTGGCATTTCCCATTTGGAAAAGAGCCAGGAAAAGCTTAGTGCTAGCCAAGGGAATTTTTGAAACAGCAATCAATACATAATTGAAATTATTGGTTGTCTTGTGTGTAAAGGGATTAAAAAGGCCTTAAAACTTTCCCTCCTTTAAAACACAAAAGTTTAAACTACAAATTAGAAGAACATGCCTTTGAGGCAACGCCCAACCCGAAACTTTCCTTCGATTCTCTTTTAAATACCACCTCACATCAGGCAATTAATTATGATTAATGCATAAGCCAGAATCAGTTATTGACGAAAGTTGGGAATTCTATCTGGTCAGCTGGCTTTCCCTGCATATTTCATGGGCCAAAACTTCTGTGGCATGTGTCCGAATCCGAAAATAAATCCCCGCCCCCAGTACTACCGAAATTAGATGGAGTTTTTTGGAAGTCTGTTCAAAACAGTCACGCCTCTTTTCCACATATTTCCGCCTGCGGCTATTTTCAGACCTGCTGCCATCCATTTACTTTGGCATCAATCAATTGCCCGGCCCAGGGGAAAACTTTACCGCACTTTGGTATTTCCCTCACATCTAATTTGTTAAACATTTGCAAGGGAATTGCCTTTTTCACACGCCCCTTCGAAAACGGTGTGTGTTTTTCTCTGGAAATTTTTTCCCTCGCACTGTGTGAAATTAATTAAAACTTAATTAATTGCTAACTTCGCTGGGGCGAGGGAAACAGAACAGACAGACTAATGAGAAGGGGGAAGGGATTAAGGTCCGAGTTCAACTGCAGCTCTCATTTGACATGCAGAGAGAAAAAATTAATCATGTGGTTCAGAGCGAAAAAAAACGGAAAAAAAGTCATACAGACGATAAAACGAAAAATGAACCATGTCAAACATTAATTTCTATGCTTTATATTTATTTGTTTTTAATAAAGTAAAATTTTCATCATTAAAATGTATAATTATGAATAGTATTGGGAACTATAATTAAATATGATATGCAACTGTGATTGCTTTAAACTCTTTGCAAAGAGTATTTCATTCTGCTTGGAAAAATAAAGACAGAATATTATATACGGTTATGAAAAATATATAAAAAATAAATCTCCTGAATATTGTTACAGAGAAATTAAAAAAAAATTTAAATGAAACTTTAAAGCATGAACAGTAAGTAAAAATCCTATTACGGATGGCAAAACCTTACTCATTCACATGAAGATATAAGATTTGCCAGATCAAAGACCATAATAATCTAAGTTTTATAATTAAATAAAATATGAAAATATGATGGAAGTCCATTAATATTGTTATCCATTAAATCCCCAAAAAATCGTAATTCAAGATCATATTTTGCTCTGTGGCCTAATTTTTTCTCTCTGCACGATCCTTTCTGTGTGACTTCAATCACAAGTGGCTGCTGCTGACATGTTGTCCCCTCTCCTGCACCTGCCCCCACTCCTCCCTGGAATCCTGCCTGGAATCCTTGGCCACTTGTCACTGTTGCTTCCGTAATGGAATTAGAGAGGGGCAGGGTGCGTGGGAATGTCGGGGAGGGACAAGGCCCCAGGCAAGGACTCAGTGATTCAGAGACGGAGTCTGAGACTCCTGCCAACGTCAGCAATGTCTCTCAAAAGTGTTAACGCACTCAATTGCTCTGGCCATCTCTTTCTCCGCCAACTAGGCCCCTCTCTTTCTGCCCATGGCCCCCGGGTCCTTTTGCCTCTCTCTCTAATTGTAAGCGTCTGCATTTAACTTCTCAGCTTGGGGGCAGTGTCTGCTCTAATGCTTAGTAACTGTGATTAGGAGGAAACTTTAGTTCCGGGTGGGTTTAATTCGCCACCCACTTTCCCCCGGGGCAATCTTTGCTTTGCTTTTGTTTCTGCCCCATTGTGTGTCGTCTAATTCCTGGTGTATGAATATTTTATTGAGGAAGGTTTTCTCTTTTTATTGGCAACATGGCATTATGTGCGAGAACAAAGAAAGGATACAATTAAATTTTTGTTTGGGTATGGCAGCTACAAACCCACATAAGCTGATGGCCTTAAAAGTTGATACCCCAAACAATAGTGTTGGCGAAAAGGAAAACGCTAAAAAGCCAAAGTACTTGACACTCGACAAAACTTTTTCATCAACAACTGCAGTTGTGATGGTGAAAGTTTTTCCAAAGGAAACTTAATTTTCTCAAGCAGCCACAATATCTTATCATACGCATACGAGATGTTTTTCAGTTTCTTCAGCCAGGCACATTGCGCATACGCACTGTGATCAGCCAGATTGGAAGTCTGTCGTAAATTTCCCTGCACACTTGTTTTCCGTTAGTTCTTTTAGTGGTTGCTGGGCCCGAATATTGGATTACACAAAAAAGTGTATTAACGCTCGATATTTTTGTGGCAGCAATTTCTGTTTTGACGCAGATCAAAGATAGTTTTCCTTGGTTTTTTTGTTTTTTGTTTGGTATTTTGGTGTTGTTTTAATTTGTTAATTTGTGTTTGGGGGACTGGTATCCCCTCGTCTGTCTAAATATAAAACAACTTAATTTGCTGCATGCTAATGAGGCGTAGGGGATGGGAAAGGGGGCGGGGCTGGAGGTCGTTGTGGGGGCGTTTAACACTTTTATAATTTGTTTGCCTGCAGACGGATTGCTCTGCAGCTTTTATTCTGGTCTTTTGTCGCCTGCCATAGCTGACAAGCTGCTAACACGCACCGAATTTCGTTAGATTTCTTATTACATTTTTGGTATATACGTTTTTTTTGGTGGCGATGTCGTAAAATATTCGCGTGCCGAGCGCGTTTTGACTTGGCCAGCAAAAGCAACAACAGTTAGCAGTAACAGTAACTGGAACAACAACAAAGCGACAAAAGGTCATTCAATTTTCGACTGCCGGCAAGGGGGCAATGAGGCTTTTCCTGCGTTTTCACACGTTTTCCAAAATTTACGACCCAATTGTGCCCGCTTTTCTTATCCGTTTGCACTCCACTCACACTTTTGCCTCGAGTCACAAAAACACACACACACACCCGCTGGTCCGGAAAATGTCGCGCCTCACGTATTTGGGCCTCACATTTCCATCAACTTTTTCTTGGATTTTCCACGCGCCTTTCCGCGTCTTCGCCTTTCGTTCACCGTCGATGTCGCGCTGAAACTGAAACAGAAACTGAAACTGATTTCTGCCAGCAGTGGAGCATTATTTTGGGGACTCGAGGGGAATTTCCGAGCACACACGAACCTTTATCAGCGGCGATTCGGGTTTGTTGTCTTCGTCTCGGGAAAAGTCGGGGAAAGGGGGTGGGAAAATCGTGTCCCGAGCATTTCTACTCCAGCTGAATTCGCCGCCTATCGCTCTCTTTTCTGGCCATACTCTCTTATATTTACCAAGAAATGCTCTTTCAAGGTCTAACAATAAAATGTTTTAAATAGTTTTGGAAATTTGCGATTATTATGTTAGTGGCAACAGGGGGAATAACTTAATGATTCCGAATTATGTGGTCCCGCTATGAAAACATATTTTACGATTGTCTATTTAACTGGTTAAGTTTATTTCTATGGTGGGAACTTAAGACACAAACAGTGATTTGACTTAACAGCAGGGGAAATTAAATGGAAATTAAAGGTAATAACTTAATTTCTGTCTAGGAATTAACTGCGGAATGTAGAAGTAGGTTAAATGCTTTGGAGCGTAAACAACTTATAAAAAGCGTAAAGCATTTATTAGGGCAGTAAAAAGATGTGTAATTAAAACCATATTGAGTATGTTAGCCTAATTCTAGCTCATATTTGAAAAGACTGGGTCAGTCTAAAAAAAGTCTGCTGAAAAGTGACCAAAAACCCGCACTTCTAAGCCCATAACTTTTCTTGCAGACATCCAATTTCAAAGTGGCATACCTCTAAATGATTGTGGTTTAATTCTCTAAAAATCTGTATACTCATCTTGGTTTGTATTTTTGGATAGATTTTTAGTCATTTTTATGAGCTAACCCCTTTCCAAATTTTCGAAAAATGGCTTTTGCTGAAAAGTGACCAAAAACCTGCACTTCTAAGCCCATAACTTTTCTTACAGACATCCGATTTCAAAGTGGCATACCTCTAAATGATTGTGGTTTAATTCTCTAAAAATCTGTATACTCATCTTGGTTTGTATTTTTGGGTCGATTTTTAGTCATTTTTATGAGCTAACCCCTTTCCAAATTTTCGAAAAATGGCTTTTGCTGAAAAGTGACCAAAAACCCGCACTTCTAAGCCCATAACTTTTCTTGCAGACATCCGATTTCAAAGTGGCATACCTCTAAATGATTGTGGTTTAATTCTCTAAAAATCTGTATACTCATCTTGGTTTGAATTTTTGGGTCGATTTTTAGTCATTTTTATGAGCTAACCCCTTTCCAAATTTTCGAAAAAAAAATTTTTTTCGTCCTGAAAAGTGACCAAAAACCCGCACTTCTAAGCCCATAACTTTTCTTACAGACATCCGATTTCAAAGTGGCATACCTCTAAATGATTGTGGTTTAATTCTCTAAAAATCTGTATACTCATCTTGATTTGTATTTTTGGGTCGATTTTTAGTCATTTCTAAGAGCTAACCCCTTTTCATTTTTTCAAAAAATGGCTGCTAATGTTAACTTTCTCTCATGATTAAAAAGTTATATTAAAAACAAAAAATGTTTTTTAATGAAATGTTTAAAAATCTCCTCCGTAAAAAAGGTCCATCTGTCTGCCTCAGACAATATCTTAAGCTAGATTGACGGGCTTAGGTCAGTGTCAAAGAGAATTTGATAGATTTAAGCAAAGAGTGCGCATGCACTAAAAAACACGAAAGTTCTCTTCGACTTTCTCTCTTTTATTTTTTTTTGCGGCGAATTGGATAATGTGGCCAGAAGGCAGGGATTTCAATAAAATACACTGGAGTTGGCACAAAAAGAGCTAATGACAATATAAATTCGCATGGCGTATGGAAATCCGTGGCAGATGGGAAACGGGAGCTGGGCGAAAGATTTCCCTTTCCCGCTCATTGAAGGGAAAATGGGATGAAAAGCGGGGAAAATGGCAGGGTGCAGGGCAGCTGACAGCAGTTATCGCTGGAGCGAAAGGCAGTAATTAGCGTAAATTGAGTTGGTAAAAAGCGCAAGTGTTCAAAATCCGCCACCCACTTGTGCCACCCCCACGGACCACCCAAAAACCCAGCCCACCGCAGTAGTTGCTTCTTGTTTTCGTGGTTGCTGTTGTTTTTGTTGCCCCTGCTGTTGTTGATTATGTGGCAATTAGTTGTCGCTTTTGTGGCAAGCCGCGCGACACTTTCAATCAGAGCATCTTACTCCGACAGCCACATAATGCCCATCCAGGTGGGGCTTAGTGAGCTAATTAAACAAGCCGCTTACGGCTCATCATCCCGCTGACCTTGGCCAGCTGCCACGCCCACTGCAAGTCCATCTATGAAAAGTTTGCCACAACTCCTAACCGACTCGACCCCACAACATTTCTCCAGTTATCAACTTTCTGCACATATTGTCAGAGGTGTTTAAAAGTCTGGGTCACTGGTGGGTTAAATGGGCGGCCGGGCATTCTGGGGGCGTGGCTGCAGTCTAATGAGCGGCATTCGGTACTTGCTCGGTATTAGAAACTTTACGAAAAGGCAAAAAACCAAAAGTTTCCAATTTGGTTGCACAGAAAATATTGTTGAAGGAATTTGTTGAAAGTCTCACGCCACGAATGACGAATGCACTTGGCAAATTAAAGAAAAAAAATATACAATTTTTGAATATACTGGCACTAGAATTTCCAAACGAAAAACACTTAAAAATATTCCTTAAATAATTTATGGCTCTAGTTTCTTTCAATTTACCTTAGTTTTTGCATCTTATAAGCCATTTCCTCTAGCTCAACAACCCTGGAGGCCAAATGCAGTTCATTTGCTGAGCGAAAATTTTATGATTTATGAAAATGTTCTACGAATATTTCTGTTCTCCCCCACTTTTAAATGGGAGGGCGTCATTCCGCCCACATTGTAATACAATCAGGATCTGGCTTGGAATTAAATCTGCTAACCGAGTTATAGCTCTCAAGGAGGGGAGGATAAGAGGTTCTGTTCTGGGGCATTGTTGCATATTCAACAATTGCAACTGCAAACCGACGAAGTAATAACAAATGCAAATTTTAAGCTCAAGAATTTTCGTTTGCAAAAATTGTATACATTTTTTTTTTATTTTTAGCTCATATTTTACTTATTTGTGCTTTTTGCCTTTTGGCAACAGCAGGCAAAAGTGCAAATGAGTTTTGGCCGGCCCTCTTCCCCTGACAATTGAATTTGTTTAAATTGTTGCCTGCTGAATTTGTGAGAGTCGAGCGGAATCGTAGCCATGCATCAGCAATCAGGAAAGGGGAGATCCACTAAACTTCAAGTCGGGACACATTGTCCTCCACGCTGAGAGCCAATATAATCAAGCGGCAGCAGCTGGCAAAAAATGATGTGGCAATGTGTATGGGTATGTGCGGGGTGCACTGGGAAAAATATAAATTAATTTAGATCAATTATCAGAAAAACAATATTTTAATTACATGTAATTATATTTTCCCAATGCTTTCAGTTCATATATACTTATTAATTAATAAGCATATTTGTATTCGTTTAAACAGTATTTAAAAATATGGTCTAATAACTAAAATAATATATATATATATTTATATTATATATTTATTTATTAGAAATGTTGGAATAACTTGCAAATAATAAAAAGATGCTCGTCTACCAAGTTTACCAAAACTTTTTTTGTTAATAACACTAAAATAACAGATCAAAAACCGATCGAATTTTGTAATAAAGAAATTGCTTGATAATTTAAACATAAATAAACAGGTTGGTTTATAAATTATGATCTATAGATATGACAAAAACTCAAATTGATATATTAAAAAAGAAACTTGTGCTTCATATATATGGCATATTTTGAAGTTATATACTCCTTTTTTTGTTGATTTTTGTATCTGTATGAGGTGGTCGTGGGCCAGCAGGCTGCAGGACTTGGGCACTGATGAGTTCACTTCAGTGAGCAAATGAAACGATATTGTTGTCAATTTAGGTGCAACAAAGAGCAGCAATGCGTCCCGTCCCGTTCCCCGCCCGTCCCGTCCGTTTCTATCCGGCGGCAGACAAGGACAAGACAAAACAAACAGCATGCATGATGAGCGAGCGAGAGAGAGAGAAAGTCCTGCGATGGCAGGATGTCGGAGGGGGACAGCGATAGCTGGCGTAACAACAAAGGCAAACAACAACAAATTGCATGTCCTTCCGCCTAAGGTTGCAACACAATATACAACGCACTCATATTTACTTTGTTCGGAGGATCCTGTTCCAGGCTCTCTGTTCCTGTCCCTGTCTCTGTCTCCGTCTCTGTCCCCCCTGTCTCCATCTCCCCTCTCGTTCGCACCTGGACCTCGACGAACTCCTCGCCCAGTTGCAACATTAATGAAAACTGCAAGCGACCTGACACAGATACATGTGGGATAGTGGAAAGGTGGGCAAAAGGGATCAAAAGGGGGTGAAAAGTGGGAAAAGGCAGGACAATGGGGCGAAAGAGGGGTGAATAGAGGGGAAAAGGGGATCCAAAATGGGCGGAAAAGGACATGGTGGCACCTTTATTTACAGAGCCAAGGAAGCGCAGGGAGAGCTTTTCCAGAATTGGACAATATTTTTAGCCATTTTCAGTCCCTGATTTTCCTGCAGGTGATCTAGGATAATTGCCAACTAAACTGGGCTTAATGGTTTGGCAAGGGTTTGCAATTTAAAGAAACTCGTTTAGAGCGAAAAAATGATTCAAACAAATATGCACATATTTAATATCCTTTGGAAGAGATTCCCACAGCATTCTTCAGATTTTACTTTCATTTTCATTGCATATAAATGCCTACCATTTTACTGGATGAAATGTATTCCGAAATAAATAAACTAAAATTGTTTTGAATTTCAAACTTAATTGAGATATATGTACTAGCAATAAATTATCAAAAATTGAAGCTGACACAGTTTGACCAGCTATTCAGATTGATTTTCGCAATAAATATCAAATTCTACTTTATAGATTTTTTCCAATATTTCGGCAAGTTTTAAAATTCATTTTGTGCGATTTATCCCCATTTAGCTTT